AAACAGAAAATAATAATATTAAAAAAAAAAAAAAACAAGTCTAAAAGAGTTTTGACCTTGTTTCATCTTGTTTATGTTTTACTACTTCATCTGCCCGCAAAAGTTAGGATCATGAAAGGAAAAATATGCAGAGTTAATTGTTCGTTTTTTTTTTGGGAATTCTAGCTCCGTGTATTGATGGATCTTTTTTGCCCAGTGTGTTTGCGGCGAGGACTAGATGTCTGCTGCTCCCCCCGAAAACTTTTTTGCTGGCCGAGCCATTGACCTGCCTTTGATTTGGCCTGGCCCCATCCCGAATCGCTCGCCTTGGCTGGAGGTCCTAAGGATATTTCTTTTCTTTTCATTTCCCCTCGTTGCTGCCGACCATTTGTTTGAAGCTTGTTTCGGGAGCAGGACACAATGCCGGTGGATTGCCCTTGGCTCGCACACACATGTCCCTTGTACAGCTGCGGTCAAAGTAATAGTAGTGGGACAATGAAAAGTGGTCAAATACATGCCTCGAAGGCATAGGACAACTTTCTCGTTTTTTATAATATTATAATGCTTTCTTAGCAATAAACAAAATTAGGTTAAGTTTTTCAAGGAAAACAATTTTCAAACCTTAATAACTCATAAAACTCAAATTAAGAAAATTACCATAAATCCTCTCTCATCTGCACTTTTTATTGGAATATATCTGATCAATATTAGTAATTGAAAGATAAAAAACCTTTTCTTTCTATTAAACATTTTTAAAAATATAATAAAATATTATACCTTGATATTACTAAATTTACTGCTGTTTCCAAAAGCTAGGAAACTACTATTACCTTACCGCAACTGTGTATGGGGCAGGCAGTCGGCAGCCAGGGAGAATCAATTTAGGGCCTCGGCAGCTGCGGCCGAATATTTGCACGTTGCCAATAAACACGGACTAGCCGGAGAATCCGCAGGGATGTCCACCCTCCAACCGACATCCTTCACCCTTCACATTCACTACACACTCACTGGAGTTCACCATTCGCGCTGCAATCTTGCGCCATTAGAAGTGTCCGATTCGAGGGAGCGGAGGATGAACTGGACCACCACCCGGCAGGTGTGGAAAGCGCAGGTAGTTAACGACAGGAACAGGCTTCAACAGCTTATTACTGAGAGAGTGTTGTTGTCCGGTGGAAAAAGGAATGAGGAATGTGGGTGGTGTAGACAAGGTGTAAACAAGGTTAACGGCGCTGACAGCACTGCACTCGATGGTCATTCATTGGCGATTGGCGATTGCAGTAGCAAGATGGTAATCGATAATAGTAGAGGACCATGTAGATGCCCCTCGGAAAACAAAGGGATGACAAGAGAAATGACTTACGGCTGCTGGGGATCAGAGTTGCCGGACACTGACAATGGAGAGATATATGATACGTTCAGTTCCGCCGGGTTCGATTCAACTTAAAATGTCATTTAGCAAAGCTTCAAGTTCGGCGTTGTGGGATCATTCAATCATCCCCTCATTGACGGCCACTGCCTACGCATTGCCCATACGCCACGTGGCCATTGGCAAGTGCCGCTTCAAACAATTGCCATTGCAATTAGAGAAACGCGTCGAATAAAGAACAGAACCGAAACCCGAACAAGTTATTAGGTTTTGGTTTTTGTTACGCTAGATAACTTGTAAATCACAATCACATTCCAACCATGCTTTAAACACTTACACAGCCAAAATGTTGCCTACTTATTTTTAAACGTCAAATTATTGTGTAAATTTCTTTTATTAAAAATTTAAAAAGATTTAAAACGATTTAAAAAGATTTTGTGGTTATATCGATGGAGCCGTCGTAAAAATCGGAAGTATCGGAACGGAAACTGGAATGAGGCACGGGATTATACCCGGTTCCGGTTCACAGTGCACAACGGACAACTACGGGACTTACTCATATGCACAAAAAGCTCAATTATCCCATCAATTTGGCTTCGCTGACTGCTGCCACTATTGTTATGCAATTAATGCAAATTAGTCGGATGAGCAGCTACTAAGGGACGCGACAAAGAAGGGAGTCCGCACAGCATGGAAGTCGGATAGCAGACAACAGATAACAGATTACATGAATTTCTGTGTGCACCAAGTGCACATGCAGTAGTACATGCAGTCTAACCCGAACTGGGTAAACCTGTCAGTATGATAATAAGGCTTTGTTGTTAATGGTGATGTTGAATTAGAGCTAACGATTATTAGGTTGCTGTCCACTCACTTTTCCCAGTTTTTCTGGTACTTTCCCTGCGCATACACTCAGAAAAACAAATCGTTTTAAATGATAACAGCTCTTAACTGAAATTCAATACCATGTTTCCTAATCTAAGAACACACAAGTCTAAAATTCTTCTTTAAGGAACCAAATTCGTTTCATTTGTTCAAGAACTCGAATTGTGGTATGATATTAATTTCACATATGTATTTTCGTATTTTCTATTAGTTATTATTAAATGTAATATTTTATTAAAAGTAGAAGCGGTAATGTGCAATGAAGTTGGAATTTCGGTCTTAATTTTTCGCAATGCTTTTTTGACTAAGTGTAATGGCTTAAACGCGATGGAGGATAATTCTATAAACTCTCACATAGGGTGGATCAGCTTAATTTTGCCTGCTCTAACATGTCCCTATAGACCAGCTATATAGCCTTCATGGGTTTCGGAGGTGATTGCCCGCAATTTGCCCGGCCTGGCTTTCCTTTGCTGTGGCTCGTTTTCCATCGCCACAAATGAGCCAAACTCGATAATCAGGCCATCAAAGTTTATGGTTGCCACAAGAAAGGGGCAAGCACATACAGTTACCGTCTGTTGTGTCTGGGGGTTTAACTAATACAATTTCGTATGAAATTACTTTGACACAAAATCATCAACTACGGGGCAGACTGAAAGGGACGCCACTTGACGGAAATTACCACCCAGTCCTCGATGAATAGGGCTCATCCAACTCAATGCTCAGTGCTGGGAATGGAATGGAACTTCCACTGGACGATCGCTTAATCGAATTCAATTTCCATACGAATATTATAGAATTTGCTGACACAAGACGGGCAAAACTATGGGCAGCAATCAATGGGAGGAATGGAGATGGTGTGGAGTGGCAGATGGGGTGCAATCAGGCGGCATCAGGCAAAGAAAGGCAAAGTTTTCCACCTAGGGCGGATGCATAAAGGGGGGAAAATGGGGGGAAAGGGGGGACTGCGGCAGAAATCAAGGCACCATCCACGCGCTTATTGTTCAACAGTCGAGAGAAATAACAATCGTTTGAACAACTGAACATCTGAACAAGCTATGTCCCTGTCAAGTGAGCGAGTGTGCGTGGGTGCGAAGGCTATAGAAATCCATTATAATTTCCCCATAGACTAACACACTCGCCGGCTGTGCACTGATGAAAAACCTAATCCAAGAATTTCATTCTCAATTTAAATATTTTTCTTAAGTTATATTAAATATAGAAATATTAATATTCGAAATAGATTTAAAATCTTAAAATTAAAGCAAATTTTAAGCCCGCTTTTCCACTTTAATTCAAATAGTTTAATATTATATTATGCAATTAAGAATATGTACCTTGTATTTGAATTTATGATTTTATATTTAACTTATTTAGGAAATTAACAATTCTGGACTCAATATCTATATTTTTAATATTCCATTTTTTATCAGTGTAGAAGAGGCGGGGGCTGGGCAATAAGCAGACAGACTTTGTTTGCTATATGTTGTAATTTGCGTACACAGATACTCCAGCTATATGGATGCGGGCTGGATGTTCTCAAGGTCCTGGCCATAATAAACATTTAAACATCATTGAAAATTCATTTGGGTTTTGTTTGCACTCACATTTTTCCGTTACTCGTTTTCTGTTCTCCGTTTTCCGCCCGCCCGCCTCTCTGTGTGTTTACTTTATCAATTTGGCCAACAAAATTGTGGAAATGCAACATAAAATTTCAATATGCCCCTGAACCCGCCCCTTTTTATAACTCTGCATATTTTTGTGCCACGCTGGGTGTGGAGTGAGGGGTTCGGGAAGTGCGATGTGGCAGTTGCATGTGGCAGGGAGAATGCAATTTGTAGACATGGACAGCAGCCTTTTGAAATGCAATTTTGCACTTGGAAAACGGAATCTGGAATTTGGGCTTATGCAATCAAAGGAGGAAGTGGGGGAAAGAGCGGTGGCCTAAATTTCTGGAATCAAATTGAGGCACTTGGCAACCCTGTTGCACGGATGCGTTGCTGAAATTCGAGTCGTCACTTAAGCCGAACAGAGTCGAAACTTCAGCTCTGCTCTTGTCAGTCCAGACAACTCTGACCCCCTAAAGCATTACTTGACTCACATCTCTATTCCAAAACATTCTCTTTGAGTCTGTGCCATAAAGCACTTGGCAATATTTACTATGTTTACTACTGTGTGATTGAGATATCCAGTCATTTCAAATTTTTGTAGTTCTTAGTAATTGCAACTTTGTGCACAGCCGGCTGCCGTGGCAACCCTGACTGGCACTACCAATAATGATAAACTCGATTGCCCATCAATCAACGATACTTCGCACTTGGCAAAAATATTGTGCGCCTTTCAACATCTATTCATAGACTACTTATCTCATTTGCCGCACTGGTAACCTTGGCACATTGCGTTGACAACCCTGTCAGCGTTTAATTACAGTCCGGCCTGGCCTGGACATTCATTTATGTCCGCCATGTTTTCCCGCCTGGCATCGCATTGGGCATTTTTCCTTCGTTCCCCGATTTCATTATCATTTTCATTTACGCTTTACTTGCGTCGTCGTGGGTGGTGAAGGGGGTTAAGCGCTTAAGTAGCTCCAAATGAACGGCCATTAAAAGTGCGCACGCAATTAAGAGCCGGCCAGGTGTTGCGGCCCATGACCTCCGACCTCTGCGAACCTGGACCTCCCGTGGCCACAACGCCCCCTGATAAACAAATTTCGCGCTCGAGTAGCGAGGAGTACTGTAAGTGGAGAAAGTAAGGAACGGCAAAGGGCACTCACCTGTCGGACTGGGCGTCAGCGACATCATGTCGAAGTGGATGTTCTTCTGCTCGAAGGAGTAGTCCTTGAGGAAGGTCAGCTTGGCGCCGCGCGTTTTTGTGAGGCCGGTGACCGCGTTGTTGATGCTGCGCAAGTACTCCCGCTTGCCAAAGTTCGTGTGCGGCGCGATCAGGCCGATGTTGAGCTGCTCCTTGTTGGCCGCCGCGCCCTTGCTCAGGCTGCCGCCTCCGTTGGTCAACCGGAGGGCGTGGCAGCTGTCCAGGATCAGGATCAGCAGGAGGAGCACCAGGACCGGGAGGCGAAACAGCGGGAGGAAGCCGCTTGGAGGGTTAGTGGTTAGACGTCTATTGCTATTGTGCTGGCTGCTGGCAGTGTTGAAAGTGGTGTGGTCGGGTCGGTCGGTCGCCCTTCGGCCCATAAGTGGGAGCTCATCCGTGCCGCATTTCAGTTTGACGCGACTGGGCATCATGGCTGTATGATCCGGTGCTCGGCGTTCGGTGCTCGGTACTCGCTGCTCCGGTGGTCTCTAGTGCATTTGGCCAGGATTTAATTGGCTGGGCGATGCTATTGTTTTGCGTATGGATGGATTGCGTTTTTCTCAGCAGCGGCCCTCTGTTTCGTCCTCTGTTCGGTTCTTCTGTTTGTATTGGGTGTTGCGCATTGCTAAATTTAAACAGGCAACAGAAAACATTTACACGTAACCGCCCACACTCGCTTTCACTTTCACTTCCATTTCCACTTCCATTTCCACTTCCATGCCACCCACTCACACCTATTTAAGCACACACAAACCTAAGCAACAACGTCTGCAGCAGGAGCAGCAACAGCAGCAGCATTGGCAACAGTCGTCGTTGACGTTTTCCGCCATTTCAGTTTCCGCTGCTAATTTGTTATGGTCGAAACCGTGTAGCGTACTAGACAGAAAAGCGAATTGCCTGAATCAGTCCGATATTGTCAACCATTGAATTATGTAAAATTAATAAAAAAAAGCTGTAATTTTTTCGAAGATTCCAAAGTGTTACGGAAATTCATCAAAATGAGTACCATATCCCATCAATTTGTTTGTTTGTGTACGAAAGTCGTTGGTCGTTTTGAGGCAGTCCCGTATCCATCGTTTCGGGCCCACTGTGCGGCGCCTGCTGCCGCCAAAGGGTATTTATGGACACATCGCCCAGGCAGGCAGGAGCAGGTGCTTCCCTCACTTTGATACTGCTGGTTTTCGGGGGTATTCCACGAATGAATAATATTAAAAACTAAATATAGTTCAAATGTAAATTAAATGTTTAGAATATTACAATCTACTCCGAAAATATTACAAAAATAATAATACTTTAAATAGCTAAAAACAGCAATGGAAGAAAATCAAAGCGTTACATTTTTAAACTTGGTAAGAAATACTTGAATTTACGAATTTATTTTTATGAGTGTTTAATTAATGTCTACGTACTGAAGAATACTAAGTATATTACGTTATTGTCTGGTCTTGCTTCTCATCTCCTAGGGTATTTCATCCATCGAGCCTTTGCCCTGCCGCCTGCTCCGTTTTTCAGTCCGATTCAATTTGAGCGCAGCCTGCCATTCTACATAAATTAAATGCGACATTGGTCCGCATAATCGCAGCTCCACTTACACATACATACTCTGGCTCCTGATTCCTGTTTTCAGCTTTCTGACTCAGCCCCCGCAGGGAATGCGGCAATCGGTCGTGAAATTTTCTCTTTGAATTTTGAATGGTATACCATAGTAGCGGCAGTAAAAAGCAGCCGAAGCAGCGGAAACGGAAATAAGGAGTCGAAACGTGGGACTGTAGGCATGGGGTGTGGCCAGATATGCCCCTTGGCAGCCCTTTCCCTCAGACTTTCCCTGTTCTTGCCATTATGATAGTCATCATCATTAATATCCCCACATATTGCGGATGCTGGTAGTTTCCCTATATCGCCCTTTGTTTGGCCAAACTTGTAGCAATTGGTACATCAAAAAAAAAAAAATGTGTTCAAAATAAAAGTTAACAAAATTATAAAACTGTAAATGTATAAAACTCTAAGTTATTTTTAAATTAAATTAAAAAATCAGAAAGAAGTCGAATTTAGTCAGTCGCTAAATCGTAAACGCTAAAGAAATACCTAGTGAGCACAAGGGCCATTGGAATATTTAACTTATGTCCGATTCCTTAAATCGCTTTGGGTCAATCCCAAATAACGGAGTTTTTTTTTGTCACTTTTCATTACTTTTGATCAAAAATGTTGTATACGATCATATATTTTCTTCTATGTGCACTGCTAAGCTATGGCTTTGGTTTTGGGCGTCGCCTACGGCGGCTTCGTGTCATCATCGAACACCGCGTGGGAGGGGCGTAGCCAGGGGCTGAGGGCTGGGGAGGCTGCAGGGGTCCAGGCTCCTGCGTCAGCAAGTAGCTCGACTTCTTTCGTGTTGCGTGGCTGCGCAACGCGGCAAACAGAAGCTGTTTGGGCTTATAATTTGTCTGCTGTCGTCCCGCCTCTTGTAGCCTCTGGTCTGGCTTAAACTGTGTTTTGACACTTGGCTGCCTGGCTGTCAATAAGCGGGGAAGAGCTTCCCCACCCGCCGCTCGTTGGCAGGAAAGAGTGATTACTTTGTTAGGCCCAAGCAGGCACAAAGGAGAAGGACCCCAACCTTGTCCCAACGCCCTGCTCCGCTTGAAGGTCATGGACTCCTCTGTCGACTCTCTCCGCACTCGTCCATTTCTTCAATTTCTCCACTTCTCCATTTCTCCAAGCTCATCTCTATGCGCCTGTGTCTGTGCCTGTGTGTGTGTGCGTAGGGCAGCCGTAAAATGTCTTCTTCTTCGTTTGTGTGTGTCTACATGTGTTTCGTACTTTTCGTACATGACGGCGGCAATAAATTGTATCTTATGAGAAAAGAATCCAAAATAACAGACATCCCGGCTAACGTTGCTCATAGTCGCCACCCATCCCTCCCTCACTCCCCCACTGCTTACTGCCTTATCAAGAGTAGTGTTTGTGCTTGGGGTACATCATTCATAGGACGTGTAATGAATTCACGGCGTATTAAACTTTTGATTGAAAATGTTTGTTGCCTTGGCTGTTCTTGTTAACGTCACTTCCTCATGTTGTTGTTGTTGCTGTTTAATAGCAATAGCAGTGGCATTATCATCATCTCTCTTTTTCTCTTTCTCTCTGTGCGTGTGTCAGTCTGTAAGTGTGAATGTCTGTTCGTGGCTGTGTGGGTATGTGAGTTTATGACTTTTGGCGGACATTTTGGGTTAGGCTCAAGCTGTATTTACTTGGCTTCTTTGGGGACAGCTTCTGCTACCAGCACAGTAACTTGCAAGCACACACACACCGACGCGCACACGTACGCTGAGAAAAAAAAGCCACAATTACCAAGTGGATGATTTCATTATCGCATATGAAGTAAGCCATTAAAGAGGCATTACTTTTGAGCGTTAAAAATATCAAATATTGCTCATAGTATAATATTTATATTTTGTTTTGGTCAAGACATCTACAAAAAAAGGCTCTGATTTTATCAAAAACATTAATTGCTTTTGATCTGAATTTCTCTCTGTGTTCTTATACGTTTTTCACAGCTGAACCCCTTTGACAGTTATTTACTTTTTAGCATGGCTTGCCGCTATTTTCTTTACTCTCTTCTCTTTCTTTCCGCTGACCACGCCCACGAATGAAATCTATTTATTTATTTGTGTGTTTCCATTCCCTCCTCTCCTGTCCTCCTGTCCTCCTGTTCAGCTGTTCTGCTCCTTCCCTTCCGTTTTCCGTGCTTTATCGTTGTTTGGCCAGTGGCGAATGGGTTAGCTTTGGGCTAAAACAGATGACTGGGCACATGGGTTGGGAGCTGTCTAATTTGACAGTGCGTCGACCGCTGTCAGCCTTTCCCTTCTTCCCCTCCTTTTCCTTTCCCCTCTAAACAAACATGGCTGGTTGGTTATTAGTTTGGCCCAAACGTTTTCTGTCAACGCTTTTTCTTTGTCCCTTGTTTTTCTTCTCGCATTCTCGCTTAAGCGCAGAAAATGTGCGCTGGGCGTGAAAAATGGCTGCGTGTTATCTTCGTGACTTTGTAGGGTGTTGCTTACTCCCCACTCACCCGCTGTAATCCTGGCTGGCAGCTAATTCATTAGATCAGCTTCCTTTTAGCCCCCTTGTTTTGGGCTTGTTGTGCCGCCAAAACAACAAGCAAACAAAAGTTTGCTGCCCAAAGTGGCCGAATGCAAATCGCGCTGCAACGACACGACGGGGAAACCAAATCAGCAACAACGACGGCAGGAACAGGACGGACAGTGTTGCCAGTCTAGCCAATTTCAGACTAAGTCAACTATATTTAACAAAGAAAAAGCTATTAAAAATCTAGTATATTTTCAAGTCCTGTGAATTCAACCATACTTGTAATTGTTTCACTTATGTATATAGTAAATATGTATGTTCTCGTTTTGTTATATGGATATTCATCCTTTATGTTCGTCCTTAACATTGAAACACATAAAATTAGTCGTGAAAACTAAATTAATTTGTTCAAGGCCAATAATTATATTTTTATTGAAGGAAAAAAAAATATGTTTTTGTTTAAAGTGTTCATAATTTTTGATTTATAGCTACTATCATATAAAAACCTATTTTCTTTCGTATGTTTTCTTCCATTAGGATATAGCTTGGTTTTCAGCATTTATATTTAATTTTTAGAATATTTTTATCCAAAATATACAACCGCAACACCTGGCAACACGGATTGGGAACAACACTGTGCAGTGTGTGTGTGTGTGCAGAGCAGTGTTTTCCAAAAGTTTCGGCTTCCGACCGAGCAGCAGTTGCAGTGTTGTTCGTTGGTTTTGGTTTTTGCTACACAGCAGCAACATCCTTTCCACTCTGACCTTCAGCCGGCAGTTGAGGGCCTCAACAGTCAGACATCGACATCGTCTTGTGGGAGGAGTTCGCTAAATATATTACGAGCGTGATGGGACGCATATCCCAAGATCTGTCGGGGCACAGAAAACAATAGAACACGTTCTGGGGTGACACACAAATCTCTAGAGACTTTGCCTTCGATAGATTCGCCCAAAAAAAATGGATTCCGTCGGTATCACAAGTACATTTGTTTAAAGAGCTTAGAACAGAAATGTGTAAACGACTTTCCTCAGGTTGGCTTTAAAATGAAAAGCATTTACTTCAAGATACTAGCTGACTTGTAGCAGACACTAATCGTTTATATCTAGGCCATAAGGTCGGTAGAACTAAAAGGACCATACAATATGTTTTGATTTTCTGAAATCTTTGCTAACTAGTTTTTCCTTTAATAAAAGGAAATAAGAAAAGCTGGGATGCCATTGATTGGGTAAAAATGTTGTGGATGAGTGTTTCTTCACTGCTTTCCGGATTGTTTACGTTTTAAACAAAAGTTGCAGCAGTGAAATGGGGAAAATGGGGGCGAAAGGAGAAAGTGGTATGTAGAACGGGGTCGTAAAAGCCAAAAGCCGCCCAACGCTGCTCCGCTTGGCCTTCCGCCTCGAATTAGCGAAAATTTCATAATAATAAAAATCTCAAACTTGTTGGGGGGTGGCGTTGCACTGGTGTCGAGTGGGAGGCTGTGGGTGGTTGTGGGTAAGTGGGGGCGGCGGGCGGTGGGTTGCCTATAAGGGGTCTGTCATGGCAGGCTCTTAATTAAAATGTGTCGCAGGGGCGGCGTCGGGGGCTGGTGGGGCTGTGACTGGAGGGTTGAGGCTTTTGTTTTGCTTTCGCGTTGTTTTTCGTCGGCACTTTTGATGCACTTGGTCATTGTTGTAGCGCTGGCTGTGGTAATTGTTGTTGCTGTTCTTGTTGTTGTTATAGTTATTGGCACACTCACTCACACACTTGAATAAAAACAAAATAAAGAGTGACACTGCATTTCTCAATTGCACTTTTTGTTTTAATAATATATACGCTGTTTTGTTGTAGCTGTTGTTGCTACTTAGCGCAGAGTTTTGGTGCCGAGGGGGTGGCGAGGGGGTGGCATGGGGATGGCGACTGAAACTGAAACATGAAACAAGTCCACACCCAAAAAATTCAAAGACACGCACAACGACAGCGACAGAGGCAGCGGCGATGACGACGACGCAGCCTCACACAGACACACACACAAGCACACTCACATTCACACTCACACGTACACATAGCCATGAACCAGGCACACGCACACATACATGCCCAAAAAAAAGTTACGAAAAAAAGGACTCTATTTTGTTGTTGCTGATATATTTTTTGCCATCATTGCGCTGAGCTTTCTCTATTTCTCCCTGCTCCCTGTTTTTTTTTGTCATGTTTGCCATCACTACGATTGTTGTTTCTGCCATTGTTGTTTTCTTTGTTATAAAACAAAACACAATCGGATTGGCATTAGGATAAGGGCGGGGTGTGGACGAGGACGAATGTGGTTGAATGTGGTCGCAGGTCCTGGGCTTACGTTTACGCTCGCGGTCTAGTCTAAGTCTGGGCGTTAGTTCGGGCGGGCCAAGCCACGCTCAGACTCGGAAACGGAAACGGTATCGGTATCGGAATCTGAATCTGAATCTGACCAAAGCCTGGCTCTCTAGCTCTGGACGTCGGCAGGCAGCTCCTGCGGATGCGAACCGAACAGAACAGGACTCTGAACGGTTGAACGCCACGAAGCGAGCGGAACGGCACGGAGCGGAGCGCGTTCTGCGGTCTGAAAGCGACGAGCCACCGAATGGCACTGCCAACCCGGACACAGAGCCCAAAACCCAGCTATATAGCCAGCAAGAATCAGCAGCAGCAGCAGGAACAGCAGCCGCAGCATCCGCAAGCGAATACGAGCCCCAACACGAAGGACGAAACTCGTTTTTCTGCCGCCGAAGGAGTGGGCTAGCGGTAGTGGAATCCACAGGAGCCGCCGAGCACTGTCAATGTCACAGAGAAAGAGAGAGAGAGAGAGAGTTGGCTTCGATTTCGATTTCGATTTCGTTTTCGTTTCATTTCGGCTTGTAACACGCCCTCCTGCAACGTATACGTAATATTTCTGCTCTCTCGCTCCCGAAACTCTCTCACTCTCTTTTGGATGCTGGTCGCGTGCCAAACCCATTGACAGGGTGGCCACTCAGTCAGCAGGAGGTACAACCCTACCATAATATATAAGCCACAAATGTGAAAACCATTTTCTTAACAGTTTTTTCACTCGGCCCAAGTTGGCAAAACTTTTTTTACATACCTCTTCATAAAATGTTTATTATTTTTCACACAAAAAAAAAAATTTCGATATTTTTAATCCAGGCCGATAGATGTTTAGCAGTCATGACAACTATGAGCAAAATAACATTTTTTCAGGAATGCTATTTTTTTGATTATTTTTTTTGTAAGTTTTATATAAATATATATATGCAAATCAGGATTATTAGGCGAGTTGCTGCCTTGGAACATTAAAAAAACTAATTTAAAAACCATAATTGTTGTTTATAAAAATACTTGCATACATATACTTCCAAATATAGTCATTTAAAAATAGGGCTTAATAAGTAAGGAATAACGGAAAGATTTGTCTTGTTTTTTTTCATAAAAAGAGAAAAACTAGTTAGGAATCAGATGTTGCGAGCCAGCATGACTAAGGTTTTATTCTCTGCCCGAAAAATCCGGCAACGCTCGAAGTTCTGCTTCTGCGCTGCTCTTTAATAAACGAGGATGCTGATGGGTGCAGGGGGCTTTTCTCGACCTCGACTACTCGACTGCTGCACAGTTCGATTCCTCCACTGCTGGAGAAGTATCCAAAAACCACGTGTTGATTTGTTTTGATTGTGCGCACTTTCTGCGTTCTAGCTCCTGTTTTTTTCTGATTCCGCTTCTGAAGCTGGCCCTGCCTTTGGCTTGAACGCTTTGCGGCTTGCTCCCTGCGCAGACAGGCTCGGAGGCTAGTCCTAGTCTAATTACTCCTGCTCCACTAAGCCACCATGGTGGGCAGAGTGTACAAAGTGTGCAAACACTTTAAGTTTGGATGATTACCTTGATTTCTACATTTTAGCGAATCGATTTAAGTCTTTGTTTGCTTACGAGTCGGATGAGGCATATATTTTATGAGTGTATCGACAATTTAAGCATAGATAATAGGGGTTTGGCATTGGAATAAATAAGAGATTTCATTCATCTGGTGCACAGTTCGAATGCGTAGTTTTTATTTATTAACTTATTTACTATAAATGATTGACAGTGTACAAAACTAAAGCAAACGTAGAAGCACATAGTTCTAGATACGATTTTGGCTGCAGCATGCATGCGTAACATGCATTCTATCTCTTTTCTGATATTACTTGTTAGACTGTGAACTATTAGAAAATATCCGGTGTTTTCGCACCACTGTGACCACGATGCTCATTGAGTGCGGTGTGCTTCAAGCGCTGGCAGTTTCCTTCGGGTTTCGGTCGTGGGTTTGGTTTCGGTTTCGGTTTTCGGGTCGGATTTCATCCTGTTCGGTAAACGCCTGGCGGCCCACCCTGCTCCCTGCTTCCTGCTCCCTGTCGCCTTTGTCGCTGTCTGTGGCCTGTGCCTAACTTGCCAAATTAATAAATTGTCTGTAAAAACGCACAGCCAAAAGAAGATAGCAACGTGTATTCCTTGATTAGATTTGAATGAGTGGGGCGATGGCAGGCATTTGGGCAATGCTGTCCATGATAGATGATTGGGGTCCTGCTCCTGCTCCTGCTACTGCTCGCGAATCCGTGCCAGTTCAGCTACTGTGGCTACTTTCGATGGCCTGGGCCTTTGATGGATGCGATTGCTTTTCGCTCGCATTGAAAACTCGATTAATTACGCTAGCCGATGACTCTGGGGTGTGGGTAGCTCCACAGCTACGTCCTTCTGGGTTCCCCCTGCCTTTGGCTTTGACTTCTTATAATTTCCTTTGCATTATATTTCCTTTTTCAAACATAGTGTGTATGTGTGTGCTTGTGTGTATTTAGTACAATTTTGTTTGCCTGACGCTGATTTCATTGGGCCGATGTTGCCTGCGAGGCATCTCTGTGAAGTTGGAAATCTGAAGTCTGAAGGGTTTTCCTTTTCCTCCTCCCTTCCTGCAAAGCAAACACACACACTAAAAACACCGACAGGCAGAAAGAGAGAGAGAGCTAAAGTGTGTTGGCAGGGCTCGAATCATTTAATAGACATTTCAGCCGTGCTGCCTGGACTCTGTCCCCCCAGAACACATGCAAATACGGAAGTGCGGAAATTCGGAAATTTCGAAAAGCGTAACATGGGCCCCCGACTATGTCCACGTTTAAAGTTATTTTCTACATCATTGGAGGCCGCTCAAGTCGCCCCATCGGCTGCAAGACACGGGACAGAACTTGCGTCAATTAGGCCGAACCCTCTAACTCTGAGTTAGCACTCGCCACCTTCAACCATCCAAACACCCACTTATTTGCATAAATTCCCACGCTGCATACTTCGGGCGCCACAAATCCCCATTCCCATCGAGTGCAGAGCAAACAGGGGCAGAAGGCAAACAGAAATAGCCACAGCAACAGAAACAGAAACAGAAACGGCCACAGCATTGGAAGCCAGCGGCAGATGGCGGATGACCAACTGCATCCGAGGCTCGTTAAACAAGCACGCGACCCAAATCCGCAATTAGATCACGCCCGGCCACGCCCACGCCGACCCTTCTCCCCCGCCCGCAAAAACGAAACAAGCCCAAACAAAACAAATTCGGAGCCTAATGACATTTCATTTCCCTAGTCAAGTCTGGAATTGGATTGGTATTGTGTCGCAAATTCCCAGCCCATTCCCATTCCTCCCTCGCCTCGATCAGAGGACTTTCGGCGTCTAGTTGTCCTCTTTGATTGACGTGCATTTCCCAATTCCCGTTTCCCAGCCTGATTTATTGCAAGTTGTCTGGAAAACGACTGCAAACCTAATTCCTCACAACTATCCCTTCAGCCATATATTTATCATTGAACGAGAATCGTTTTCCAAGAATCGTTTTCCAAGAATCGTTTAAATTTTGGTCTGTAAATTTAGGTCGTTTTTTTAAATAAAATTCCTTAATAATAATTATTTGTATACATTTAAATAAATATAACAAAAATCTCTTGTTTAAATAAAAATGAAAACTAACTTTAAAATATAATTTTCAAATGTTCTTAAACGTTTGTCAGAAACACCCGTTAAGGCTCTTTGAAATAAATTCGTAATAATGACAAAACTTTGCTTGAGCTTAATTGTGTTTTTCAAAATAAGATGTATTATAAAATACCAGTCAAATGCCAACCCCACCAATTCTCTTGATTCTCCTCAGAGTTCTTTAAAATGCAACCAACGACACAAAAGCTTAAATAATGTTTTACTATTATTTGCAGATTGGTTCACAAGGCTCTGTCCACCTCCACCCTTCCTCTTGTCACCTGCCAGAACTGTTCTCTTTGCCATAAATTAAAAGAGGCACCGCGCAAACGATTACTTCACACGTCATTCGTTTTGACATTCGATTTGATGGCATCTGTCGCTGACAACAATCAACAGCAGCCATAACCACCACTCTTCCGCTGAAGCATCATCATCAGCAACATCAACATCAACATCAACATCAACATCAACATCAACATCAACTACTCGAGCGACACACATCCGAATGGGCACGTGGGCGTATACGCAATATTAGCATTCGGTATTGAATAGGCGCAGCTATTAATTGGTTCAGCAGAGCTGGTATGAAAAGAGGCTGCCCTCGGTCCGTGGCTTGGTAAGCAAAGTGTATAGTAAGTGGAGCATAAAATGTGCAGATCGAACCGGAATAACAACACCAACGGCAGCATCTACACAAATCACATTGCAAAGCCAAGGCAAGTGAAGTGTGTTTGCAAGGAGGCGCTTGGGCGGAACAGTGACAACATCGTTTACGTGTAGTTTACACTTCTTCAACGCTCCAACCCAACGCCGTGACCCTAACGCGGAGCGGGGGATGGGGATACTCCCGGTTAATCCACACAGACGTGGCACAAACCTGACAGACTTCAGTCCACCGCCCACCACCTGCCCGGCCTTTGTATTCAAATTATGTACGTGCCTAAGGCGATAGCACAAATAGCGAAAATAGTTGCCTTCCATCAGCATTTCAGTCCGTTTAATCAGCCGTGGCGCTTTGGGGGTGGCAGGAATTTCAGATTTTATGGTGGGTGCATAGGCTCCATGGGCTCCATGGGCTCCATGTGCTCCATGGGCTGCACGTCCCTTCCACGTTCTCCGGTAGTGGCATGCAACTTGTGACTTGTCTATGACAGCCACATTGACGGCTCTGCACAAAGCGGGACGGGGCTCAAAGATAGTAGCAAAGCAGTAAAGCAGCAAAGTAGTCAGAAAGAGAGCAGTCCGATGTCTTGTCAGCTTGCGTTTGGACAGGCAGTCGAGCGGGAAAGTCTCACCTGAGTCCTATAAGCCAAAGGCACACAGCGGACGGTGGCATCGACTAACTGGCCTCAAAAGCAACCCCACTGTAGCATCATTCCAACTCATTCTTCTTTGTGCTGCTCTTTGGTTTGTTCAGCCCCTGACCAAGGGCAAAGCTAATGTTCCCCAGCAACTGCGGCGGTTATTTCATCATCGTCTTTTTCCCAATCGAATAGCAGGAGCCTCATTAGGTTTGATTCGATTTCGTTGACAACATACATCCTTCCGTTCCCAGCAGCTTCCTGCCTTGCTCTTCCACATTTACTTTGTATGTGACGCCACGTCATCCTACACGTCCACGCCCACACACGCCCAATTAGCCCGAAGCCAAAACAAGATTTGCTGCGATTGGGTTAGTTGTCGTATATTCCACACTCGCCATGACATCAGCTTGAAGACTGAAGACTGAAGACAGAGCGTGGCTCAGACAGCCTTGACTTTGGCCTTCTCCAGCTGCTGCGATTTCACTGCAATGGAACGGGGATGGGATAGCTTGAGTTTGAGTTTGAGTGGGGAGTTGAGTTGAGTTGAGTTGAACCCACCGGTAATCAGGGCGTCCGCATCGCTGGGAGCAGGAGAGAGCAGGGAGTCGGACAGGCCCAGCACAGTGGGCGCCTCGTCGTCCTCGTCGTTCTGCTTGTCCTTGTCCGCCCGCTGGAGAACCTGTTTGCGCAGCTTGCGGAGGTAGGCCGCCTTGTACTCCTCGCTGGGCTTGCCACCTGCTCCGTAGCTTACCTCCAGCACAGTCAGCGGAATCACGGTGGAGGAGACGGGCACGAGATCTGGCAAGGGAATAATGGCGGGATAATGGTCCATGGCGTGATTCATCTTGTGCTGTAGCACTGTAGCACCCACCTGCCTCATATTTCTCGTCGGGATTCAGTTTGTAGAGCATCGGATGGGCCAAGGCGCTGGCACAGGCCAGCAGCAGCAAAAGGGGCCGAAAAGCCATGGTGATCGTTCGCACTGTCTAAAGGCCACGCACTTACTGACACTGACAGCAAGATCACTAGTTAAAGTTGCCCTCAGCCAAGCCGCATTTGAGTTCAAATTTAAATTCGAGTAATTCACCATTGTCGATATTTATAGCACTCAGCTTATTTTATTAATTAATCTTGGCCGTAACCAAGCGGAATTTTAGTTTTAATTTAAACTTGCGAAACTCACCATTGGCGGCAAAAGTCAGCTCACTTCATTGAGGTCAACGAAATTTGTAGCATTTAGCTCAATTACTTAGTCTTGCCCTCAGCCAACCTGCATTTGATTTTAAACTTCAATTTGAGAAACTCACCATTGACGGTCAAGTCATCGCAATTAGTAGCACTCAGCCTTGGTCAGGCGACAAAACCTATCGATGCACACTGGTAGAGAACAGTGTGGCCGCACATTCATTAAGTTAAAATCCATAGGCCTGCGAACATTTTAGTATTAATTATATCGGCTTACCTATCGGTCTGCCCACTTTCGACTCCTTGTATCGATTTCTCATAAGACTTGTTATCGCCATCAACCCTTGTTTTCATTAGTAAATTTACATTTTTTTAGTCCGACCAGCAAATTAACTAAAAGAAAAGCGACTAAAGCCAGAAGCTAAGTGACCCCAGAGCGGCAAGGCAGAGGCAAAGGAAAAGCATGAGCTGAGGCTGAGGCAGAAACCGATACCCATCGCAAGCGAAACCAAGGGCAGTCAGTGGTCCAGGCAGCGACACGGAAGCCACCACTCCAGGTCGGACCCACGCCTCCGCAGGAGCAGCATCGGCAGCATCAGCAGTAGTAGAACAAAGGAGCACCACCACCAGCATCGCCAACACCACCACCATGAGCACCGTGTTCATCAACTCCCGCAAGAGCCCCAATGTGCTGAAGAAGCAGGGCACCGACCAGTGGGTCAAGCTGAACGTGGGCGGCACCTACTTCCTCACCACCAAGACGACGCTCTCACGTGACCCAAATTCCTTCCTCTCCCGCCTGATTCAGGAGGACTGCGACTTGATATCGGACAAGGTGAGTGTGCTTGCTGTGTGCCCTGCATTTATGGCCCTATTTATAGCCGCAGTAGGCTGAGGTCCGCCTAATGACAGTAATAAGCGCCAGTCCAATTCCAATCCAATGCAGGTCATGCAGCGGAAGCAGTTGGGGACCGGTGGGGGATGGGGATCTAGGCCAGGGTTCGGTCAAAAAAGAGCACACGAGAGAGTGTCCTACATTTGGTGCAGCTGCAGCTGCAGCTACAGCAGAGGGTGTTCCAGTTAGCTGTGGCAGCAGGCCCTGATTTAGCTGCTGGGCCGACGAGTCCTTGGGCCGTCGAGTGGGCGGTGGGTGGTGCACCACACCCCACCTCCAAATAATCATCATGACAATAATCACAAACAAACATTTCGCTAGCTCCGCAGCCATAAATCCACTGTGAACAAGCAGCGAGACAGCGAGAAATTCCAGAGGCACACAGGCTTTGTATAAACAATTCAGACGCCACACCCCCCCGCCCCATCCAGAACAGTTTTTATTAAAAAGTTTTTTGTTCTCTGTGTGATTGAGCGGGGCCCGCGCCTTTTGCTTTTGCTATTGATTAAATTCCGTGCTCACCACCCCCACACGCCCGCCAATTAAGGCAGCCACCCCAGCTCAGCGCAGACCAGCCATTACCTTGCCTAAACGGGCGCTTAAATTGTTTGGGGCCAAAAAAGACCCTCGCCATTTGCTATTCACCTTCTGTCAGGGCAAAGAGATGCGGGTGTGGTGTGGTGTGATTATCGTTGTGGCAGGCAATCAGCTGCAGGTGCAGCGGGGAAAACTTACAGGCAAAGTCAAAGTCAGAGTCAGAGTCGGAGTCGGAGTCATTGCCAGTGACAGTCCGCTTCAGCCGGGAGTGACACGTGGCCAATTCATTACGGATGCAGTGACTAATTCCGCGTTTGGTTCGCCTGCAGGACGAGACAGGCGCCTACCTGATCGACAGGGACCCCAAGTACTTTGCGCCCGTGCTCAACTATCTGCGTCACGGCAAGCTGGTGCTCGATGGCGTCTCCGAGGAGGGCGTGCTGGAGGAGGCTGAGTTCTACAACGTGACGCAGCTCATAGCTCTGCTGAAGGAGTGCATCCTGCACAGGGATCAGGTGAGATAAGACCAAAGCCAAGCATTCGGTGCAGTCCCAACTGACTCAAATACGTTTTCAGCGACCGCATGCGGACAAGAAACGCGTGTACCGCGTGCTGCAGTGCCGCGAGCAGGAACTGACCCAGGTGAGTCCCTTCAGCGGCGTACCGAAGCAGCAGCAAGCCAGCTCTATTCTTCTCCCTCCGCAGATGATCTCAACGCTGTCAGATGGCTGGCGGTTCGAGCAGCTGATCAGCATGCAGTACACCAACTACGGGCCCTTCGAAAACAATGAGTTCCTGTGCGTGGTCTCCAAGGAGTGCGGCACGACAGCCGGGCGAGAGCTGGAGCTCAACGACCGGGCCAAGGTCCTGCAGCAGAAGGGATCGCGAATGTAAGACAATCCACCATCCCACCATCCACCACAGAGCAGCGACCACGTGTTCTTCTCTCGCTCTTTTTCGCTGTGTTGGCGCAGTCTTGTGGCCATTAAACGACGGAACCGCAAGTCGAAGGCCTGCATATATGTATTTATTGTTAAAGCGAGCGAACCGTGGACCTTGGTCCGCTGCGCTTTGCTAGCAACGCACAACATTTTAGACTTAGACTGTATCTGTACATACGGGTTTCGTAGAACCTAAGAACCCTTGTCTGTGACTGACGCACTCTTTCTCTCTCTCTCTCTCTCTCTCTCTCCCTCTCTCTCTGTTCAATTACAGTCTTGGAATTTAAAGGCGTTATATGTATTTATACGCAATCCCTAAAAACTAAATCCGAACTCCCCGTCATCGACAAACAACTAACAACTCATTCCCGATCGGCAACACAATCAGAGTCAGCCACACCGACACAACACCAATTGGATGCAGCCCAGGAAGTCATAGCCAGATCAGCCAGCTCCAGCCACTGCACAGCAGATCAGTCACCCACCACACCACACACTGGATACACCACACACTGGATACACCTCACGAGATCAGATCAAAGCCAGACTCACACAGATCACCCACCAAGATCAGCTGGAATCACCCAAGCAGAGACTACGCATTATGCATCATTTGCATTCGATACAAAGTTAACAGGTACCACTGCGATTAAATCTCGCCTCGGTGCCGTTGTGCGCTTGGCTTGGCTAATTGCAGCACTGTGTGCGGGCGTGCATGTGTTCAACTTATAGTAGACCAGATAGACCCGACTACGCGACAACCAGCCCTGCTTCGATGCGCCCCATAGTCAGACTCAGCCTCAGCTTCGAGTTTCGAGTTTCAGCTTCGCTTAGAGAGGATGGCACGCTTAAACCAGCCACGTCAGACAGCTGGGGCACTCATTAAGCTAGGGATATACACATTAGCGGGAGTTTTTAGGGTTAGTCTTAGTAGTTTTTATCGTGCTTACAATAACAGCCCCGATGACGCAGCGGACACTTCGCTGGAGCAGTCGCGATTCCGATTCCGATTCCCTTGGTTAAGCAACAGACTTACAGTACCTACACTAGGTTCAAGCTGCATTTACGAGTCCTGTGTCCGCATCCCCGTCCCCGGAATTTAGAAAGCCGATTCAAGCGTGTTAGTTCCGTTTTGTGAAGACCCGGTTTTACTACCTTGAGCTTTAAATCAAGCAAAGCAAAGATATCATCTTAAGGAAATCAATTGAATCACGACTGAAATTATGTGAACTTGCACTTAAAGGAAATACATACAAATTGATAGTGGGGAGCCATGTAAAATGAGAAATATTAAACGAAAAACCTAATCGGCGACGTTTTGTACAGACAGGCATGATATCTATAATACGATAAGTACATGAATGTATATAATTTTAAATAGTTACTAATTTATACACGAAAAAGAAAACAGAAAACAAACAAATTGATAATGATCCAGAACGTCGCCACCTACTCGTACCCATTTTGTATCCATTTTGACTTATTTTACGTGCACGGCAGTCGAAGTGCAGATTATATAGAGTATAACTTATGCTTACGAGGATTATTTTGGCGGAGAGGTGAACCTTTACACTAGCAAGTAGACGTACCGCAGCGCCCGAGTATGCCGGACGCAGTGTCCGGCACTTAGCAATACAGAAAAAGGCAACTGCAAGTAATACACAGACACGGCAACAATTGCTAAAGATAATACGATAACCTAACCCCCTACTATAACCCCATAAGGATGTACTCACCCCGAATCCGAACCCGCTCTGTACCCTAGTTACAGTCGCAGCTGCAGCTGGTGCTGGACCGGATTACCCCCTGTCCAGGCCGTCTGACAATCCCTCACACACAATATGAATATATATGAATAAACTTGGATCCCTTTTTTAAAAACACTGTTTTGAGTTCTGTAACTGGGTAGAAAAAATTAAAATTTTTGGCTTATGCCTTTTTTTTTGTGCAACAACTCGAAGTTACAAAACAAAATTTTAACGCGGAATTTTAGAAATTAAGCTAAAATTAAGCTAAATTAAGCTTTAAAAGTATGCCTTTTCAAAATAGGACATATGTAACAAAAGTTATGGAATTGGAAGTACTGGCTTAGATCACTTTTCAACAATCCATTTTTGGAAAATTTATATTTCATTAAATCGCCCAGAAAATCGACACAAAATTTCAGGCCAATATTTTAACGCAACTTTTTATAAAATTAAAACCTCAAACGTTAAAAACTGGAACTTTTTTTTAAATCGAATACGAATCAAAACGTGAACAAATTTTGCTGGCAATGAAATCAGGCTGAAATGAATAAAGAATGATTTATATTATAAGATTAGCATAGCATTAACATTTTGTAATGAACTAAAGTAATATTTTTTGGGTAACAATTTTTTTAAATGACTTAAAATGTCGATACTATCGATGATTCCTGCGAAATATCGACAAGATGAAAAAAAATTGATGATTTT